GATCTCGATAAATTTCTTTGCTCAAGTTTGGTTGAAAATGAAAGAAAAAAACGTGGTAGACCACCTAAAAAAGAGAACTCAACTATCGTCAAAGAGTCCGTGTCGCTCATTGTGCAGATCAACTTTATTATTTAATGTTATCTAACTTGGCTCTGAATGTAGATTGCAAAAGACACTCCAGACATTATTGAAAATATCAAAAAGTGAGGTATGGGGAAAATCATCAGAGATAGAAAACCAATTTTGACCTCTTTAATAAAAATCCATCTAATGATACGTGTAGATCCAGAAACCAGATGAAACCGTTTATCAGCGTGCAATTATTTCCTTGGACCGGTTGCATAAGGAATTCAAAAGTGTCAAGGACGTCATCGTGAAAGTGATCGACATATTAACTCATATGATTTCGACTGTTATCGGAAATGGGTTGCTCGATAACTGTCATGAGGAAGATAATTGGGAAAAGATCGTGCTTGACGTGTTTCTATTGATTGAAGTATGAATTTTTACAAGCATCCTATTATTATTCATTCCGCAAGAACTTACCGATTTTCTTCTTAAATAGCAAATCATACAAGATAATGATTCGGGTATATGCGATTTTTTTTAGAAAATCGCTTCTGCATTTTCGTTATGTGAAATTTTTATTTATTGTTCGTTCCCAAAAGACCGTGAGATCTTTGGGCAACTTTGTTTGAAACCTTTTACGCAGGTCTTAATGAAATCAACCCTTTCAATCGATGTCAGGAGAACTGTATGTTATGTTGATGATTTGGGCAACCATTTTCACGTATTATTGTTACCATTTCGTGATTCCTTCAGATAGCAGATGTGGTGAATGCTCTTTTGACGGGATGTAAAGAGAACAAAAAATTATTGAGCCAAGATAATAAGGATTGGTTTTTTAATACGTATCCTCGAGAACCTGCAATTTGCTCGGATTACTTCATAAGATAATAAAAAGTTAACTCCTTAATCTTCAATCAGCTCAGAGCTCGTTACTTCTATCATATCTGCGTCAGGTATCCAGGTCGTGCGCATTCGTTAGATTATCCAATGTTCTGACAGCTGTCTCTTCTTTCAGATTATGAACTGCAACTTCGTTATTTAGAAATCCTTTTCCGGTTATGTCCCAGAATGCAGAAAGAACGTGAAGCTTTTGCTGACAAGGCATTTTATGCTAAAAGAGATGTGATCCCTATGTTCTTTCAAATCACGGCTAGCGAGTTTTTCGGGGTAAGGTCTTTCGTGTCCTGGGATCATATCTCGTTTAAATTGTTAAATTATTTTTTATCACAGGACACACGGCGCTTTCTGAACTTTCTTAACGAGAACAACGATGGCATAATCAAGACGTATGTATCTATTATCTGTGATGCTCTAAACTCTTCATGAACACCTTATCAAGTTTGTTGACCTTTAATTAAATCTCCTCATTCGAAAGTCCGAAGACGTTTAGGGTATCACGAGTACTATATAACATGATTATCTTGCAAATTCCTGAAGGGCAGGATTGTTTTTTTGTGGATTTTAATAAGTACACAATGTCCACAACAATAAAGTCAGCAGAGGTGAGCATTCTTCAAAATAGCTATTTCGAAGTGCCATGATTTCGATTTGCTCTCTTCTCTACAGAAAGACGAAACTGTGGAAAACGAAGTGATCGATATCAAATATTTCAAAATATCATCTTGGGATATTCAAGTAAATTCTAGAGGTAATTAAAGCATTACGTTCCTATCCAGGCGTGTGCTGAATATTCTCAAAATGCCTTTTCTCATTTTTAAAATTAGAGAATGTCATCAGAATATCCATCTCGGAATCTCTAAGACTTGGAGACGAAAGTCCATCAGGGGTCAATGTTCTTAGTCTAATATTTGACTCGCATGAAACTCACGCTATGGAAAGCATTAAAAAAATTTTTGCCAATAGACGAGTGGTAAAATTG